ATTGATAGTGCCATTGACTTTGCTTGTATGGCTGTTCTGCCAGCAAGGGTAAAATATAATGGAATAAATCCTCCTTGCTGCATTTTTATATGCCAGTTGATACATGTATTTTTGTCAAGTCGGAAGGGCTCTCTACCTTTGGTGCTGCAGCTGGGACAAGCCATTTAGGCAGGGAAAAAGCCATGCTGGAAGGTAACTGAGGCTGAGAGTAGGATGTTCCCACTGTGCTGACATAGCTGCTGCTTTGCATTTCCAGCTTAAAGTGAAAGCAACCTTCTGAGAGAGCTTCCAAAGGGTGGGCTGAGATTTTGAGAGGAGATCAACTACTATTTCCCAGCATACAGCTTCTTTCAAAACACTTTCACGAGACCAAGTTCTGCTACTGTTAACAGGGTAACTTCAAGTGTTCCAACTGCTGTCCATAACAGGCTAGGAAAAACAAAACAAAAAATATGGAAAACGTATCTTAGCCCCTTGGATTTGAATTTGGCATAAAGCTGGAAAATTTGGGTACTTGTGGCTACTGAGAAGCTCCAAGTTTATCAATGTATCTTCCCTTGCAATATTTAGCAGGATGAATTTTTAACAACACAAAACTCTCCTTACACAATGAGTCTGTCCCTAATGGCTCACAACGTGCAGAGGTGAGCAGAAAGCAATTTTTTTACTACTGAAATTTTAACATTCCTTCGGGGGATTCACAACAAATTGTTTTCCAGGTCAACTCGGGCCTCCAATCTGTCTGATTCATAGAGTCCCATCTCTAACAGATGACTGCATTGAAGTTACCTTGCTAATCAGGTCAGAAGAGGCAAAATAATCCCTTTAAAATTACCACCACCAAAAACCACAACACAAACCTGCCTGGAGCTTCTAAACAGCCTTGAGGAAGTAAGTACCCTGAGAGTATCAGAATAAACTTTCTGAGATACTTTGGAGTACTATAGAGCAAACCCACACTACTTTGTGTCTTCACACTGGCAAGGTCTTGCCATAGCAGCGATTTGCAATGGCATCCTTCATACCCAAAGCATACTAAAGAAAGCACAGCTAAATGACCACTGGATGTCTCTAATAATTTACATTTAGGTAGATAGTAGCTTCCAGCACTTTCCCTTTAATGTGGGGAAATGAGGAAGAGAAGCAAGGAAACAGAAAAGGAAGAGCAGATATGCTGGTTCACTTGACATTCATTCTTAACAGTCATAATACAGAGGCACCCACATCCTCCACTGCTGCCTTAACAACTGGAAATAGATCCATGGAAGTTTTTCAGGGTACAAGCCCAGCTGCCTCCAGTCATTGCAAAGTACAAAGCACTCAGCAGCACCCTGCTCCTGTCCTCCTTAACCAAATACGCATCTTGAGATAATAGATTTACTGAGAAAATAAATGCACACATCCTTAATGCAATGCTTTTACATTTATAACAGTTCCAAAAAAAAAAAAAAAGTGTCACATCCTGTCTGGGCTAAATCTGGGCACATAATCTGTGAACAGAATGGGTTTGTGTAAACAACATGACGAATAAAGAGTTACATACAAAGGCAACAGCATTCTGAGGTTTTACAAGACAAAGAGCCCAAAGCTGTAAACACTTTCAGAAAACAAACAGCTCATCAGTTTTCTTGGGTCCCTTCATCTTTGTGCAAATCTGCAGTAGAACGAAGTAACCTCACCTCGAGCTACTCCGGATTTTTCTAGCACTCTAAGCCACCTCTTTACATTTGTTAATATTTGTATTCCTGCACTGGACAGCAGCTCCATTATGGAGCTGGGCTGCATTGGGCTGGTTTACCTCTATGTGGATACCCATGAAAGAAACAGCCTGTGCTTCAAGTGCCTGTGATTTTGATTTATTTATAGCTATTTTCAATGGTCAGGAGGGGTAACAGTTGAGCTGAATGCATGGTCAGCAAACAGCAACTCTTAGTCACATGAAGATGTTTCTGTTCCTCAGCTAAATGTTGAAAAGGTATGTTTAAAGGGAGACTGTGAAAGAGCAGGAGATGCTAAATAAGGTGCCAAAGGTGACATCAAGCTGTCAGGAATGAGGGGTCCATCAGTTCTGCAGCCTAAGCAAACACATCTTGCTTCCAGAGAAATGTTCCCACATGGCCCAGTTAACTCAGGAAAGAGCTCACAAACCCTGGACACTGGATGCATGTGTATTCCTCTTCTAGTCAAGCCAGACCAACAGCCAGCTGGAAAATACTCTTTTTACAGACTGAACAGCCATAAAAGATATCATGAAATGCCACTCCATTAACAAACTTCATTTCAGTCGCCCTCTGTTAAAATGGATTTCATTCCATTAAGCTCAGTATACTCTACCCACTCCTAGAAAGAAGAGCATGCGATAATGTTTAGTAGAGCCATTAATCTACATTTCTGGCACTACTCTGGAGGTCTGAACAGCAGAGATCACAGTCCTACACATACAGCAGTTTCCTAAAACCTCCAGCACAGCCAGTTGCACTTGGGTTTTGTGGGTTTTGTCTGGGTTAACTCTTATTTGCAGTCCCTACTATTCACTTTCCTGGCTTCTAAAACTGCTGTTTAAAGCAAACAAAAAAACAGCGAGGTCCAAATGATAACTAGCCTTCATCTGCTATCTCCTCCCTGCAACAGCATTACATGGTAATGCCTCAGGGGTGTGAATATAGCACTGCTAAGTCGGAAAGACTCCTTCAGTGGCTGATAAGCAAGATTAACAAATCTCAGATGGAAGGATCAGACTTCGCTTCTTAGTCTAGGTGTGAGAGACAAATAGATGTATGAAAAACTGAAGAAGCAAACCAACTGGGATGATGTTAGGTAGGTGATTCATCCAACCAACAGCAAGGCAGAAGACCTCTCTGTAAAATGAATTCCCTTCTGGATTATTGCCTCCCAAAGCAATAACATAAATCCATCTAACATTTAAGCAAAGGGATATTGGACTTGACAGATCAACAACGACCATGTTTGTCTACAGAGTTATAAGGTCACTACTGAAGACCCAGATGAGAAAAGCAGGTGCCTGTGGAAAGGGGCCAGATATCAAAAGGTAGCTAAAGGAGATTAACCTTTGAAGAAAACAAGAAATATTAAGAAATCATCAAGGCTGGTCCCACAGGCACCAGCAGTTAGTTCACTTCTCACTGCTAATAAGATACAGTAAAAGCCTGCATTGTTCTGCAGTTGTTTGTTGGGATTTTGTTTGGTTGATTTTGTTCTAAACATGAAAATCAACTGATAGACCATACAGTCCAAATGCCATGAAGCAGACATCATAGAGGATAAACCTTCCCTTGAAGCAGAAATCAAGCAGTGCAGGATCAAATTCCTCCAAAGCCCATTCTGCAATCCCAACCACTGCCAAGCACTTCCAGACATGCCCACTGCAGCTTCCTAAGGCAGCACTGACATCTGTCTGCAGACATGTTACTGAGACAGACCCCGAAGAATGACATTTCCAGAGGAAACCCATCCAGCGAGATAGACTACAGCAGAACACACGCAAATTCAATTTTAAGTATCAACTGCAATAAGGTAGCATCTGTCCTTGGGTGATATTTTGTGCTGCCACATTCACGGGATGGGAGTTGGAGCGCAATACAGTTCAGTGTGCTTTGTATGCTCTTATCACAAGACTTTTCCATTCCAGAGGCAATCGAATTAAAGAAAACATCTTCTTTCAGAAAACAGAACAAATTAACCTGCCAACTTATTTCTTATTCGATTCAACTTCATTTTTGTTTGTACAAGTCTTCATGGGTCAGGATTAATGTACCGCAGATACTGCATGAGCATTTACTGATACCACGAAATTGAAGCTAATATGCTACATCTCTCCCTGCTGCACAGCATACCTAAGCCACTTAAAGCAAAGAGCAGCTCGTATGTAGAGCTTACCTCTGGAAAAGTAACAAACCAAGTATCCTAACAGGGGAAGGGGATCAAGGGGCTTCTGTCTTGGCTCTGTCAAGCCCTGCTCCACAGTCACTCATTTTCCAGCTTCCCCAGCTGGTGGAGGGACCAGCCAACTCAAAAAATCTCACATTCCAAGGCAGTTTGGATGTGGATGCCTTTGCACCCAAGAGCATCTCTCAAAATAATTGGTTCTGCAGTGCAGAAAAACCTTTCTCCCCCGAGCCAACTGAAGTCCTGTAGTCATCTCTTCACTGGAGAACACCATCCTAACATTGCAATGTGACCTGCTGGGTACACAGACCCTGGGCTGAGGCAGTCAGAGGGGCTGCAGGACTGCACAACCTCTCCTCCTGCCCGCAGGGCAGCTGGTTCACAGCTAAGGATGCTGCTTGGACCTTGCCCCAAGAGTCCTCACCACAGATTGACCTGTGCTAGCTGCAGTGTCACATCACAGTGAATTCACAATTCAGCTCCTCCAGCACCAAAACAACTGCCAGCCCAAGAAGTCCTTCAAAAAGAGGCTTGGAAACCTGCTGGATTTCAGAGATATGCAGAAATTTTATACGCAAAGTAAATGAGTTAACACAGAATATATGGGTTTGTATTTAAAATACTGATCTTACAAATGAATGCTCTCAGCTAGTGTACTGGTACAGAGTACGTTAAACCGCATACGGACAACCTGCAAAAAACAACACCCTTCCCAAAAGGGCACTGCAAGCCATGTGGCAAGCAAGAAAAGACAAGACTCAAAACTGAACATCCCTTTAGGACAGGGCACCACAATGTCAGGCTGACAGAAACAACATATCTGGTATAACAGATGAGGATGTGACCAACTAGCCACTTGGGGTGGATCCCTGGGCTCTCCAAAAACTTCTGAGCTCAACATCATGGCGGGAAAAAGTGTGTACATATACACTTGTGTGTGTATTAATATATATGAACTCAGTCTGGTTGCTCATCTTACTACAAAGAGTGCAGCAACATGAGATCAGCTGTTGGAGTGACCAGACACAGGAATCACCTCCACAAGGCAACCTGGCAATCAAATCAGAAGAATAAAATTAGCAACAGTGGATCAGCAATACAGGAAAGGAAAAGGAAAATGGATTTCGCTCCATTTAGCAAAGCCAAACTAGGAACAAACAGGGAGAGGAACAGAACTCATGCCCTGCGCTGTTCAATCCATTGGGTACAATTCTCTGGTAAGCACTTTTCACCTAGGACAGTCTCAGATGAATCCCAGACTAGAGTTTCATTCCTCTCTCTAGTAGCATCCAAGAAGTTTATCTGTTTATCAGTCACTAATTAATTCTTCTGACCTGATTAATTTGTTTAAATTCATTTGCACCTTTGGGGGTGCATTTTTTGCCTGTGCAGTGTTGTATTGTTTTCTGAATTCTGTATTAATGGGGAATGTGGCTATAATAAGTATGTGGATTTTCAGCCTGCTTTCAAGGGACAAGGGGAATATAGCAGTAGGAGTGTACAGGCTGGGAACATTATTTTGGTGAGTTTTTGCCAAATGAGTTGTTAGTCCTCAGGTTAATAACATCAACTGGTCAGATCTGCTACCGGTGCAGGTGATTTCTAACCATAAGAAATGGTCATGGTACAAAGTTGCACTGGTCTCGGAGAACAGATGTAGGATGGAGTTGATTTCAGCACATCCAAGCTGGATACTTGAAGTTATGGTCCGACCTTCAATCTCTGCTGAAAAACTCCACAACTGCTGCAAGGACCTTCAGCTTTCAAAACCACCCCTTGTCTACTGGGATAGAGGGAAATGTGGTACAAGTTTTCATTGTGGACTGCCAGCAACAGTGCACTTTCAACAACAGAAAAGGAAAATAACACTATCTGAGACCAAACATCATGGCCTCACACAGCATTTCCTATGCCCTGATGTATACACGCTGCCCTGCTTATTACAGATGCAACAGACATCCCAAAGTTTTGAGTACAGCAATGTCATAAACACAAGATAATGTCCCATTTCCTCTGCTGCTTATAGCTCTCCAGGTTTGGAGGAGATCATTTCCTGAGCTGCAGCTCTGCCACCACAGCGGTTGTGCTGCAATAGCTAATCCCAAACTAATACTGTTAGCATCACTCAGCGCCTTACAAGCCTCACGCAAACATTGCTTCACTTTCTCAGAGGCAGGTAACCACAGGACCTCTGGCACCAAGCTGAAAAAATGAACTATCCAGCACTGTGCAGAGCCAGGAGAAAAGCTCAGGAAATTCCCCAGTCACTCACTGGTGTTTGGACTCTTTGCCTCCTCCAGCCTAGAAGGCCTGAATTAAGAACTACAACAGCAGCCACAGCCCTCTCAAAAGATGCTGTACAAGAGAAAACCCAGAAGACAACACTAAGTAGGCAAGCAAGGATTAGCTATACTTATTTGGGGAGACTTCCTTAATTCTTTAGAAGAGGTAGCAGAGCTGCACAAAGCAGCAGACAAAAGAATCAAAATGCAATTCTGATGGGTAAGAGCACTTCTTACCTGCAAATTCCATCCATTCTGACATTACTTAAACTCTTTCCCAGTCAAATTCTGCTTCTCTCTCTTCAGTCATGTTCCTTTACACTGTGCTACCTGCCTTCATTTTTTATTTATTGTAGTCCACCCCCATTATGATCTCCACAAAGGTTTTAGCTGATTGCAGTGATCTCGCATCTCTCCTGACCTGCTGCTAGGGATTGATGGACAACAGTGCTCGTTATTTTACAGGTGCCCTCCATTTGGAGAAGCTGCACCATCTACAACACAAGGGAGAGTGTGATGGTGGCAAAGGAATGTTTCTGTCTGAGCCAGACCCTGTTACTAAAATGTTCAGTATTTAATTCATGCACTTTGTGCAAAATCAGGAGCGACCTCCTCATACACATGTTTACAGCCATGCAAAAACATGAGGTCGTGGTGCCTGTTAGTATAAGCAGATGCAGGACCCTCATGCCCATGATTTCTGTTCCAGGATATCTCTGGGTATATCAGCCAGCCACTACAATCGGGTTACAGCAGTGATGAAATGCAGTCCACAGTTTTACACCTGGGAGATGCATCTAGCCCAACTGGCTGCATTTCCAACGAGGTTTTGAGCTGGTTTCTAAAGCTCTGAGCTTTATTCTTTACATCTGTATATATTTGCTCACACCACCGTATTTCACGCTTCCATTCCTGCAAAAACCTGCTCTTCAGAGCACAAGCTGCACCCGTGGACACAAACCAGGGAGCACGGCACCAGCACAGAGCCTGGCAGAGCAGGAACCTGGGCACGAAACACAGCAGAGCAGAGCAGAGGTGTGCAGCACTGGGATAACATTGTTCCCACAATGCTGTAGGATTTCAAAACCGAATTTGGTGTATTTTAGAGCTGAAAGCAAATCACCAATGAAAAAGACCAGTCTGACTTGCTTTACCAGGAGCCTGGCATCTACCACAGAGCACAGCAACAAAAGTAAAAAGAGAAAGAGAAAAAGATCCTCAGGGATCTGGAAGACTAAAGGAAACAATGAGGCATTTCCTTTGGAGCCTGAATATTGTATGGTACTGTATTTGCTTAAATGAGCAGATTGCAAGCAAAATACAACATAGTACCTTCATTCACCTATAGCAAGGACTTTCAGGTGACTCCTATCTCCCTTCAGATGGTCACAGAAAGTAAAAGGAACACTGGCAGATAAATTTTAGAGTAAAAAGTGTAAGTAAAGAGGAGTCCAGCAGCACTGTACAAAGCAGCACAGTGAGACACCCATTACAGGGTATGGCTCTCCCCTTAGACAGAGGCAAAAAATGTCATGTACTAATATTTCAGAACTAGTTCTTACCAACCACACAGTTAGGGTATTAAATACACATTCCTGTGTCACAGCAGCAGCAGGCACAGATAGGAGCATGGTAATACTTCAATATGATGCTCCAAGCTTAAAAGTCACTTACAGTAGAACAAAACCTATTCAGTATTTATTTTCCACAGGCTCAAGTCAACAGTCCTAAGCAGATGGCTGCCGTTAGCAGAAAACAAGCACCTGAGGAGGGAAGTGGAAACAAGTAACTCCAAACAACCATCTGCTTCTTAATTTTAAAGCAAAGGGCACAAAGAACTTTGAGGCACTACCAGGTATATCCATGCTGTGCCATACCCTCCCAATTACTCAATTGTCAGCATCAGTTAATTCCCCCATTGTTGTGATGCGATGCTTTCCCACACAGTGCCCAAGAGCCATAAATGACTGTCATGTGTCACCACTACCTTCTTCACAGAAAGTCTTCCCCCAAGCCAAAATACTTCATTTGCAAATCACACCTGAGCAGAAGCTGATAGGAAAAGCTTGACTCCATCTGTAGTTACAGTATCTCTTTGGCTTCAGTAGGACATAAGCAAGTACTTAAATGCTTCACAAACCAGACCCTTGAAGCAACATGCATGCTTCTTTCAAAGAATGTATGTATTAACTTTGTTCCAGATGGTAGATGTTTATACATTACCAGTTATTTATGACAGGTTTTGCTCTGCATAATTTAAAAAGAACAAAACTGTCTAATTCCAAGCCACAGACACTTGTTCTTCCTTTTAAAATATGAATGTCTCCTTTGGTAGGGTATCACACATGACTGCCATGGGCAGGGGGGTTGGAACTAAATGATCTTAAGGTCCTTTCCAACCCTAACTGTTCTATGATTCTATGACTTCCTGCATGGGTGCTCTGTCCTCAAGCACCCACAGCCTACTGCAGCCATAAACTACTGCTTTAGACAAAGAATGATTTGGAAAGTTTCCTGCACTGGTGTTTGTTTCTTAAAAGGAAATATATAAAACACAGAACAATGCCAGTCTCCCACCTGGTGTTCATGTTTGCTCTGCACTCAAGCTGACCAGTTTTGCTTCTGGCACTCAGTTTTCTGATCATGCAAGCTCCAATTACTACATCAAAGGGGTAAGACCATGAAGAAACTACATTAAAAAAAAACACCTAACATCGTAACGCTGCCTTTTAGAGATGTTTAAATGGCCTGTAACTTGCACGGAGACCTGTATGTTGTGCTTACATCCTTTTACTTTTACAACAGTTGCACCTCTTGCAAAAGCAAAGCCTTGAAATAAGACATCCACATTCTCAAGACCTCCACAACTCCAGCAGCTGGAGTTGTACAGGGCAACCTGTCCTCCATATGCAGTGAAGATTTGCCTACAAGAAGAGGTTGTCCAGTAGAATTACATCTGTTCTCTGATACAACTACACCATCCTAGCAACATAAATGTGAATGCAATTTTACCAGTGTAAAGGTGTTTTATAGTGGCATAAATATTCCTGTACAGGAATAGAAATGAGTAAGAATAGTGGAAGTTCCTTCTTACCCACCTAAATGCTTCCACACTACAAGCAGTATCAGCTTAACTTGTTTGGTTTAACAAAGCTTGTTTATAAATTAGACCTAAATAGAGACACAAAATGAAAGTATTCATGCTGGACAATTTTGTATGGCCTCAACAGAAGAAAGGTCTGTAAGTAAACACATTTAAGTAAGATATGTGACCTGTTCATAACAGGTATTAAAAAGCCAGTGAAACTCAATCGACAAGAAATTATGGCATTGAGTGAGACTAATGAAAAACAAGGAAAAAGAGCACATTTGAGAGTTTCTTATTAATTAATCACCGAGAATAAAACACAACTAAAAAGTAAAATCAAAACAGCATAAACTTCAATTATTTAAAAGGGAAGATATCTCTGGTAGCCTGAGAAATACCAGGTGCTAATTTGTAACAAGTGAATACACACATTGTGCATGTGAAATTCATGAAAACGTGACAGCAGGGATCAAACATGCAACGGTTTTGAATGACAGAGATTCCCTTGTTCAACTCTCCACAGTCCTGTTGTCATCCCCTATCTGACAAGAAGAACAGAAGTGAAGACAATGGAGACCTAAGGGGGGCTTTTTTTGCCTCCTGTCAAGGTAAACGTTCCTCAGGGAATCTGTCAAAGCATTAAATTCATCTTTAATCTTTCGAGTAAAAAAACTTGGCAAGAAGTAAAACCAAACAAGTTAAAATTCAGCTAAGTCATTTCTCCAGCAAAGACCCCGTTGTCCATGGATTATTCAAGTTAACTGACAGTTTTATCAAAGCCTTGTCTACAGGAGAAGAAAAGAATAATGCAATTTTAAATGCTGCTAACTGCAGGAAGGTCATGAAGATTTATGGTTTACCCTCCTGTAAATACCATTCTTTATAACTGATCCCCAGGAGATTCACCGAATGCTCAATAACCTTTCTGTGGTGGATGCAAGCAAAATTATCAGCACCATCTCAAAACCCAGCTTATTCAGCAAGCCAAGAGCGCCATGCAAATTGACCTCAGAGCCATCCCTTCTCTCCCCCCTTCTGTAAATTGGTAGTAATGAAGATGCTGCTGTGATGGAGAATCTTCACAGTCAAGGTTGAACTTTAAAATGCACTCGGAAAGAGTTCTCTGAGCCAAATGTCACTGAGCTGGCCTTGCAGGCCCAGCACAGAAGATGAAGTGTGTACACTGGGCTCTGCAGGATTACTGCTAGAGAGACTCTTTCACCTTCAGCTGAAAGAAAAACTAAATGTTTGCACTGAACTGGGCAGTGACTTGGCAAATGGAAGCAGGAGCCACATTTGCTATTACATCCTTTGTAGGTTTCTCAAGTTCAGTGTTACCATGAATCCCATTACTAGTGAAAGCAGATAAGCAAATGGCAAAACGTTCAAGGTAAGTCAGGTTTCTAGATATGTTAGTTCAGCAAAAGCCTGCTTAACGGAGCCTGATAAACTGGTCCCAGAATCTGTGCACAGAGGGTGCAAGAAAAATTAGGACAGTGTACAACATAAATGATCTTTTTTATCAGTCATTAGAGCTTTGTTTCCCTGTGCAGTCACAGACACTACCACAACTGCCCAGTCCCAGATCTCAAGTAATGGCCAATCTCTGCCTCCAAAGATACATCCCAATATCTTTATTAAACTACCTGTGTTGCCTCCAGCCTCTGGGAAAACGGAGCACGTTCTGACACAGCACAAGTGTTCTTTGGCACAGCAATGGGTAGTTTTAGCATTGCTGTAAGAACTGGTGAGCACTCTTGGCTGATGAACACGCAAACATGCCTGCAGCCCAGATCATCTGAAGAGCTGTTGCGTACACAGCGGTCCAAAATCTGGGCACTGCTGCAAGCTGTGTTCTTCCTGCTTAGATATGCTCAGGGGAGACCTGGCCCCACTAGTTGGGATCTGCAATTTAAACTTAAAACTAGTGGCCAGACTGTTTGGTACAATTCAACATCTCTATTAAGTTTTATCAATGTGAGAAACATGGGATTACAGCAATTCTCCCCTTGTCCTGTGCAATCCCTCCTCATAATTTAATCTCACCCTGCAGCAGCTATCCATGCAAAGGGAAGGTGTACAAAAAGCACAAGCCTCCTGGCAGAGGATTGCAATCTCTTTTCTTCCACACTCTCCTTTTCTTGCATGAAAACACATATTGGCACATCTGACAGACAATGAGGATATCACGTGAATATCTGGCTCAGAGGCATTTGCAGCCAGCGTTCAGCCTCATCTCTTTTGTGTAGTAAGACTGACTTGTGCACACTGCCAGGAGGAGCTTGGTAGTGAGCAAGTGAGCTTTAAATCTCTGACCTACCTGATCTGTATTAGAGGCTTTTTTGCCCTCTTCCTAGTCTCTAGATTTCCTATTTTCAATAAGCTTTTGGAAAAGGCAGAAATTATCATCCCATCCACACTATTTGATACACATACACCTCCACACTTTCACAGCAGTTTTAAGCAGAAAGTTGGGACCAGTGTGCCAGGCCTAAACCTAAACTGTCTCAGTGCTAAAGATGATGCTGATGTGAGGTTACAGCTGTTATCCACTTAATGCAAATCTTATGCCTTACCAAGTTCCCAAGACAGATGCAAATAGATGCAAAGCTTTAGGGGGCTAAAATCCGGTGTACTGGTTTCTAACCCATCACTAACTTAGAGCAAAATTAAATCCCGCCTGTAAGCATCCATCTGTTATTTCCAGTCACCTAGCACAAAATAGAATATTTAAGGAGTGATTTATGATTCCATTTATTTTACATACCTCAGAAGGAAGCATGCAAATAGCTAAATATTTTAAACTAACCACTGAACAGTTCCCAAGCGTCTAAAAACATCTGCATCTCCCTCACCCACATGCAAGAGATTCCAAGTTTTTAAGGAAGAAATTAGATTTCAAAATATTCTATTTTCATAGAAATTAAGTCTTGAAGGAGATAACTTGGCCTTTACCAAAAAAAACCCAGCTCCCCTGGGTGACTATTGGAAGGGCTGGCAGAAGAGTTAGTCTTCCATCCACCCTCCAAGACACACTAAATTGCACAAAGAAAGTAATAAAAAGGTCAAAGTTGTTTGAAGTTTAGTCAAACATAAGTACCATTTATGATAAGCATAAGTACATACAATACATAAGTATTTATGATAACCAGTGGCTCTGAGGAGTAGGATACTAGGATACTACTGACCTTCTGCAATGCAAGAGTCAGTAAAAGGCACCTAATGGCAGGGGAGATACTACAAAGGTCTCCAAGCATGAAAATGTATGTGTATACACTAATCAGGCTGTGCATTCGCTCACACTTGTTTATTATTTCCACTGATCTCTCTACCACAGGCTGAGGGGAAATCCCTAGTGTTGCTAATGATCTAGCTCATGCACTAAATAAGTCAATGTAGATCAGGGCAGCAAAGATTAATGGAGTTCTTGCTGTGGGAGTTTTGCTTCTCTTTAAGGAGATATTGGAAACATTCTCAACAGTGACTTCATGCAAATAAAGTTGTTCCTATCATCCCGAGATGACAAAAGATATAATTCCTTGTTTGATTCACACCCATGACAAAGGAAGCACGGAGACAACAAAACCTCTTTCTTTGCCAATTATGAATACTTATGGCAGATCTTTTAATGAGAGAAAAATGTTTCTTCCTTTGAGGATCCTTGGGGACTCTTTTCTTATTTCTATCTTCCCCAGAAAGAGTACACAGGAAGGTCAGCAGAGAACCAGAGGATCTGTGTTCTTTCAGATGGCAGAAAAGGTCAGCTCACTACATAAATGCCTACCCTGATGGACTCCAGGCAGTAATAAGGAGGGCCATAAGGCGGCCTATAAATAACCAGTATATTTGTCCTTTCTTGGCATATTTCCTGGAATAAGGTGTTGAAAGCACTCCCAACGACTTGATGGAAAGGAGTGCAACAGAGCAGCAACCACTGCTGCTCCCTCCTGTGGCATCATACACAGAAGGACACTTCAGCTGTCACAGACTCCCAAATACCCGTTTTCATGCTGCGACCATGCAGCCACGCTCCATGGGTCCTGTGACTCATCAGGCTCCTTGGCACAACCCAAAGCTTTGGGAAGCCCTGTCTCCTTATGGCTTTGATCAGATTTTACATCCTCCAAGCCATTGCTGCACCCTTGTGCTTGGTCCTAGGAGGGAGTCATGAAACTCATCAGGAGCCTTTCAGGAGTTAGAATATGAGAATCAGACTCTCCTGCCTCTGTTGGCTGTAATTTCTTAGGGTTTTGTAATTCCTGGAGATGTGATCAATGTCCGAGCAGCCTCTTCCTTAAGAGGCTTTATTAGCTTCGAAGGTTTGACAGCTGAGCCTCCCCTAATCCAGCAGCACTACCCCTCCAAATGCTGTAATCGCATGCCTAGACCTATATGTTGTAACCTGGTGGATAAGCAACAAATCCCCTATAGGCAAAGCTTGCTGCAGCTCTCCAGGAGTCGCTCTTTTCTTGTGATTGCGCTGTATTCTGGTACCACAGTGTCGCAGTTTAAGCCCACAGCTGAACTCAGGACACACAGCAGCAGAGATTCTCCTGCAGAGGAGTCACACTATGCCCTAAGATTACTTGATCCTAAGTCAAGAGCACCAACACTAAAGCATAATGACCCAATATGCTTGTTATGCCTAGTATCACATCAGCAGGGGATGAAATTCAAGAGGAGGATGCTCAGCCTCACTCTGCTACATACAGCGAGATGATCAACAGAACTTGAGGAAAAATGTATCGATTGAAAAGAAAAAGAAATAAAAGACTTGTAAGGAAGCAGGCAGGGAGAGAGAAGCGAGCATAGAGAGAGAGCACAACTTGCTTTATTCGTTCTGTTGCAGCTTCCCTGAACTCCAAAGAAATAAGAGGAGCCACTCTATTCTATTATGGTCAGAACTTCACAAAGCTAGATTATATCACTTGGCTACACTGGTTGTTACTAAATAAAGATGATAAACAAATAACATCCTCAGAGAGCTCAAAAATAAAGAGGCCAGTACCATTATTCAGAGAGATGGAATAGAAGTCGTGAGAGAAGCAACAAGGGGAGAAGCTATTATTGCGTATGAACCCAGATAATGCTCAGTAAAATTAGCATTTGTGTTTGTTCAGTTTGCCCAGTGCTGACACACCAGGTTCCAGAAGGTTAGTTCTGATCTTCCTGAAATGCAGCAGACTGTAGCCATTTGTGTAGACCGGGACAGGCTTTAAGAGAAGAGGCTAATAATAACCCTCATCTTTATTGCCATCAGTGCATCAACAATGTATTTAGTGTAGCTTTCTATGGACTGTGTTTGCTCGCACCACTCCATGGATGCTATCAGTTAAAAAAGAGGAAAACACAGAAAACAACCACGTTTCAGTTTGAATCAAGACTGTCAGTGTTAAGCAGGAAATCTGGGTCTGGGGTGGATTCCTGGGATAGCCATCTGGAGCACACATCTGGGGAGAAGTTAACCAGTGGCTGCATGCCACTATAATCATTCCTCCCTCAAGTACTGCAAATGGAGCATCAAAGCACAAAGCAGGTGGTTCTTCCAGGAGGTAAATGAACCACAGAGAAGGGTCAGAAAGTGAGACATGCATTTGATGAGGGCTGGGTTTTTTTCCTGCTCATAA